ATCAAATTAAACACTTATTTTTCATTTATTATATTATACTAAAAATTAATTTTACATTCAAAATATCACATCAATTATTATTTATATCACATTATACAACTATTCAAATTCAAATTTTTTACTATTTAAATCCTAACCCAAAATCCAGACCCTCAAACACACACCCGAATGTACTTTTGTATTTTTCTTATATTCTCTTCCATAACTTAGAAGATTTTCAAGTATTTAGGTTATAAAAATCATATTTGAGCATTTGCCCGAAATTTACTAATTTTTATTATTTTTTTACGATTAACAGTTACTTTTAACACCTATTTAAATTTGATTGAAGGTTTAGAAGAACACATTTGAAAAGTAGTATTTGTGGGTTATTATGTCATAAAAAGATGTTATATTCCCTCCGTGCCATAACTAGATATTCATTTGTTTTTTACACATAATTTTAGAAATATTAGTATTATATTGAGATGTAGAAATAATAAAGTAGAAATGACTAAAATAACCTTATTAGTATGTATTATATAAAAGTAATGACATTTGTGTAATATATTGTAAGTTGTAAGGGTATTTGTAATGTTAGGTAGATAGTACAGTTACTAAAAAAAGAAATTGATACTTTGTTATGGGACAGACTAAAATAAAAAAATAAATTCTTTGTTATGGAACAGACTAAAATGAAAAAATAAATATTTTATTATGGGACGGATTGAGCAGTATTCTTTTAGTATTTTATGAATGCAAATGAATAATAACATATGCTCCATTATACTCTTTATGTCCCATATGAAATATCAATATTTTTTATTTTTATTTATCCTATAACTTGTCTTTTAAAAATAAAATATAATTATTCATTTTAATTTTATTTTAAATTTTATAATTAGTATTTTTAAAAATTTTCATTACTTATTAATTATATTTTTAAAAATATTTGTGTATAGAGTAAAGTAGAGAAATTTTCGAGGGAATATTTCACAATCATGGGTGTTTGTTTGTATTTTAAAATGTTTGGAATATATTGACTTATTTTAAATTTTAAATTAATTTAAGAAAACTATATATACTAAAATATTATTTCAATGATAACAAATACTTATTAAATATATTATCTTTAAAGAAAAATATTTTATCATAAAATTCACTACATAACTTGAGTGCAACTATATAATTTATTACCGACGAACTAACCTAATCCACAATCATAAAATACTAGAAAGTTCTTGAACGCACATGCCCATTATGGACCGGACACGTGGCAAGTTTTCAACCACTCAACCGTTTTATAATAATTAAAGTTTAAAAAGAGTTGATTGGCTGTTGAGTGGTGACTTCAATAATTAAGGCTCCGGTGTGTTTTGAAAGCTTCTACTTCCGTCTATTTTCTAATTTCTTATTTGATATTTACACGTATTTATAGGTAATTAAAATTTTTTTATAAAATGACAAATTTATCTTTAATCTTGTGTATATAAAATGAAAGAGTAAATAAAGTAAGGGTAAAAGAGTAAATTTTGTGTATAAAAATAAAAAGAGGACAATAATTGTTGGACATTCCAAATAAAAAAATAGGACGTTAGTTTGTGGACGGAGGGAGTATTTTTTAAAAAAATTATAAAATAGTAAAAAATTATATATATTTTATTTTTGTCTTTTTTATATATATATATAATAATTGACATGCATATATTTTTATTAAATTTATTAATAAATAAATTTAATAAAAAATTAAAAAAAATAATGAATAAATAAATTTATTTAGTATAAATGAATTGTACAGAAATTTTTGCAAACGAATAAAAAATAAAACCCTTTCTGTCCCGACTATCATAAGTCTTTTACTGTAGACACGAGCATTTAAGTGGTGTGTAATTACTAAATAATTAAAAATATATTTATAAAAATAATTATAATATAATAAAAATAATTTTAAATTAAAATAATTAATTAATTTAATTAAATAAAAAAATTAAAAATTTTAAAATATGATTAAAATATATATTTTTTTAAAAAAAAATGACTAAATAAATAAAACAAATGAAAATGATAACTGGGACGATGGAATTAATATAATAATTTTGATTGTGAAAGTGCTAAAAATTCATATATGTCAAAAGAGCTTAATTAATTAATTAATTAATTCCTAACCAAAATAAATAGTAGGTGGTCGATTGAGACCTGGATAGTCGGCGGTGGTGGCTGCTTGATCCTTACCGCTCGTTGCGTGCGGTCCTTTGTATGGACGGTGTAGATGGATCAGGTGTTCGGCTCCAGGGAGCTTCTACCTTGATGGCGGGTCTGACCAGAATTGGACGGTGGCGATGGGGTGGCATGCAATTGGTCCACACCATTGATCCATGATTGATGGTCGGCTGTAGCTGTGGCTGTGCGTGACATGTCATGCTCTTGTCGTGACTTGAGATGTAGTAGAATTTTCTACTTTTATTTATTTTGTCATTTTATTTGTTTTTATTTATTTTTATAAAATAAAAAGTTGATATGATAGTAAAAATTAAATTATTGTATCCCAATTAATTTGTCAATTATTTTTATTTTCGTTGTCTCACTTAATTAATTTTTTTGAAATATAATTATATATTTTAATCATATTTTAAAATTTAAAATTTATAATTTTTTTTATTTTAATTAAACTATTTAGTCATTTTAATTTTAATATAATATTATTTTTATTAAATTATAATCATTTTTACTAATATATTTTTTAATTACTTACTAATTACACAATACCTACAATTTAGTGCCTAATCTAAATGGAACAAATTAGTTGGGAGAGTACCACTTTTTTTATCCCAACTAGTTTGTTCACTTTAGTTCGACACAAAGTTTTATTATAATCAGTAAACAATTAAAATGTGTATTAATAAAAATAATTATGATGGAATAATAAAAATAATTAGAGATTAACATTAAAATTATTAAATAGTTTAATTAAAAAAATATAAATTATAAATTTTAAAATGTATAATATATTTAAATAAAATAAAAAAATAATTTATGTGAGATAGACTGATATAAAAAAATAGACAAATTAAATGGAATGGAGTAAAATTATAAATTTCAGTTCAATGAATGGGTATTGTATTAGCTAGGACATAGTAATAAACTAATCATAGTATTTATTAAATGAAAAAGGATAAACTGTTTTTTTTTAGTCCGTAACTGGACCCCCTTATCATTTTAGTCCCGTAAGTGGAGCCTATCGCAAATTAGTCCATAAGTGAAAAATTTTCGCTTTTTTAGTCCTCCGGCGCCGGAGACGCCCGCGTGGCTCGTCGGAGGTTACGTGTCCGCCAGGTGGACACGTGGATTTTTTTAATTATTTTTTTAATTTTTTTAATTTATTTTTAATTATATTTATATAATTTTAATTTTTTAATTTGATTTAATTTTAAAAAATAAAAAATTGAAAAAAATAAATAAATCCACATGTCCGCCAGGTGTCGCTGACCTGGCAGGACACCTGGCGGACACATCACCTCCAGCGAGCCATGCGGGCGTCTTCGGCGCCGGAGGACTAAAACAACGAAAATTTTTCACTTATGGGACTAGTTTGCGACAAGCTCCACTTACGGGACTAAAATGATAAAAAGGTCCAGTTACGGGACTAAAAAAACAGTTTACCCAATGAAAAAATATATGGTTATTTATAGACAATCAAAATAGTATAATAAATACTACTATTCCTTATGTTCAAGAACTATAGTTTTAATTGGGTTCGGCATAGGATTTAAGGAATATTGATATTATATTGGTAACTGGTAAAAAATATAGATAAAAGATTTTTTTGCCCTGATGAGTGTATTAGTGTAAAAATTAGTGATAATTGTGTAATAAAAATAAAAAGGTATGAATAGTTTTATGGTCATATAGTTATTTATGAAAATAAAACTATTGTTTTGGAACGAACAAAAATAGTGAACAAGACTATTGTATTGGGACGAATGAAGTATTATAATAGATAATTATTAAATATTAGTTTTAAATAAAAATAAATATTAAAAATAATTTCTTATAAAAAAAAATTTTAAAAAAATCAAGTATAGAAGCTCTTATTCAAAGCATAGACATCTGAATGGATTCGAGTCTATTTGGTTACAAGTTCGAGAATAAATTGATAATATATGCCCATAATTTATTTTATTTTAACTATAGCTATAAATGTATTTAGTTGATATGTATTTATGTTTTAATTTTTTATTTGAACAAAAATAATCTTTTTTTTAAAAAAAAAAAAATTAAATATTAGTATTATAATATTTAGAGTGCAAACCAATAGAAAGAAAAGCAAAAAACTCTATTAGTATTAGTATGATTTAATATAAAAATAATAGTATATGTATGATATATAATAAGTTGTAAAATTATTTATATTGTTAATTTGGTAATACAATTATCAAATAAAAAAAAATAATATTATTTTGAAATGAATAAAAGAAAAAGAAAATTGACAAATTTTTTATAGAGACGGAAGGAGTATATATATTTATTAAAAATACTCATATATCATTATAAAAATTTGTAGAAGTTGGGTGTATCTGTTTTGTTAAATAATTTGAATATATATATTATTTTTTTAAAAAATATTATGTCAGTTTGAGAGTTTGGATTTTGAGTTATGATTTAAATAGTAAAAATTTTGAGTTGATATAAATAAGTGTTGATGTGATATTTTGAATATAAAATTAATTTTTAATATAATATAAAAATAAAAATAAATATTTAATTTAATATTTTAGAGAAAAAATATTAATAAACAGTGAAAATCTTATAAAATCCGTCAGACAAACACACCATATTATCCATGTTTGTTTTACTTTGAGTTACGTTTTTTAAGTCCAATAATGTACAATTTTCGAATAAAATTTTAAACAAATTCAGGACAATTTTCCTTCAGTGGGGCGGCATAATTAATTTTATTTAATTATTAATTTATTATTCATCCAAACAGTCACATATTTCGTACATATAAATACCCCGTAATTCGGTTGCCATTCTCACCCCCATACAGAACTCCAGAAACTCCTCAGCTCACCAAACCAGTAGAAGAAGCTTCTCGACTCACTGCAGCAATGGCGAAGGATGTAGAAGGCGGAGGCAACGAATACAGCGCCAGAGACTACCACGACCCGCCGCCGGCGCCGCTGATTGATCCGGAGGAGCTTGGCAAGTGGTCGCTGTACAGAGCTGTTATCGCCGAATTCATCGCGACTCTTCTCTTCCTCTACGTCACCGTCCTGACGGTTATCGGCTACAAGAGCCAGAGCGCCGCCGACGAGTGCGGCGGCGTCGGAATTCTAGGCATTGCTTGGGCGTTCGGCGGAATGATTTTCATCCTCGTGTACTGCACCGCCGGCATCTCCGGTAAACTACCGATTGAATTAATTTTTGCATCCTTCGATTTTCCCCCAAATTAATTTTGACCTAATTTTGAAATTGACCTATCGCCGCCGTGCCGTACAGGCGGACACATCAATCCGGCGGTGACCTTCGGACTGTTCCTCGCGAGGAAAGTCTCGTTAGTCCGAGCCGTACTGTACATCGTGGCGCAGTGCTTGGGCGCCATTTGCGGTTGCGGTCTGGTGAAGGCGTTCCAGAAGGCGTATTACGTCAGGTACGGCGGAGGCGCCAATTCTCTGGCTGACGGGTACAGCACCGGCACCGGATTAGCGGCGGAGATAATCGGAACATTTGTACTTGTTTACACCGTCTTCTCCGCCACCGATCCGAAGAGAAGCGCCAGAGACTCTCATGTTCCTGTAAGCATTCCTCAAATCTCCATTGCTAAACAATCTATTTTCTGTTAAATCGGTTAACAAATCAATCAATCGATCATTGGATTGAAGGTTTTGGCACCACTGCCGATTGGATTCGCCGTGTTCATGGTTCACTTGGCGACAATTCCGATCACCGGTACTGGAATCAACCCCGCCCGGAGCTTCGGAGCGGCTGTGATCTACGGCAAGGATGTGGCCTGGGATGATCATGTACTGAAAAATTCTTCTCTCCTTGTTGCTTAATTTCGTTTTTTCTCTGCTCGGAATTGAATTGAAATGGTGTTTTTGTGCTGTTGTCGGCAGTGGATATTCTGGGTGGGGCCATTGATCGGGGCCGCCATTGCAGCGATCTATCATCAGTACGTGCTTCGGGCTGGAGCAGTTAAAGCTCTGGGATCGTTCAGAAGCTCTTCCTATTAAAGTTAAGGTTTGAGAATCGAAATGTAAATTTGAAGAGAGGACAGGACACTGTTTGTTTGCCTTCTGTCTTCTGTCTTTTTATATTTCTTTGTATTTTGTCTTTTTGTTGTTTATGTTTGATGCTCTTTTTCAAGTCAATGATCAAAGCAATAATGAATCAATGAATGAAAATGATTGTAAATGATGCTTCCTCTTTTTTTTTTTTTTTTTTTTAATCCAATAAATAAACTTAAATAATGGAGATATAAAAATGCAAGTAAACGGTGTGGAGTGTTACGAAAAAAAATAAAAAATAATTAAAATATGTGATTTATTTTAATAAAATAATAGCGATATAAAGTTCATGAATGTCGAAAATGACTGCTATTATTATTACTTAGTACTCCTTTCATCCCACCCGAATTGAACAATTTGCTTAGGGCACTGTATTTATTTTAGGCGAAGATATTTAATTAGTTAATAGTAATTAATTATAATATTATTATATTATTTTTTATATAATTAATAATATTTATATTTTTAAAGTAAATTTAATATATAGGATTAAAAAAATTAAAATATATGTTTAAATATTTAAAAATTATATAGCAATTAAAAAATATATGCAATATAAATATCATTTTGCAGAGAATAAAATTGTCTATAATACAAGTAAATAACAAATATTTCTGTTTATTTATAATTAACATAAATTAATTTTATAAAAGATGTGTAGTTTTAAATATAGATAAAAATATTTATTTTTTTAGGAGAGATATAGAAATAAAGGAGTTTTTAGTGGGTCATATTGTATGTTATATAGTTAATTAAGTTGATTTATATTTGTTAAATGTGTTTTGATTTAATAATTTTTACCCCAAATAGAAATGTGTCAATTGTTATGAGACAGCAAAAAATGGAAATAGTGTTAATTGTGGTGGGACGGAGGAAGTATATAATATATTCCCTCCGTCCCACGTACCGTGTCTGCTACACTGTAGATACAGTATTTTAGGAGGGATATAATTAGTAGATAATTAAGAATGTATCAGTGAAAATAATTATCCTATAATATAAATAATTATAAATTAAGATTAAGATAACTAATTAGTTTAATTAAAATTAAAAAAAAATAAATTAAAAAATTTAAAATGAGATTAAAGTGTGTAATCATTTTCAAAAAAGGAAAGTACATGGTATGTGGGACAGATAGAAACGGCAACATGGACATGCTATGTGGGACGGAGGGAGTAGTATATTGGCATACAAAACATATATTTGATTCGTGCATTAAAATTAGCCTACTTGTCCGGTGTGGATATTAAAAAAAATAAATATTTTATTAAAAAAGTGATAAATAGATTGAGAGTATTTTTAAAATTTTTGTTAGAAATTAAAGTAAATAAAGATAAACAATGTAATAAAGTTAATTGTATTTGTCGTAAATAAATGTTGAATGAAATGTAACAATTAAATGTTATTTGTTGACTTTGCCAAAATTATTGAAATAAATTTAAGGGACGGGTTAAAGAAACTAAAAATAATTTTGACGAAGGAATGAAATATTACAAATGATGATCATAGATTAGACTATATAACATAATTTCATACAATATATTACCCCGTCCCAATAAAAGAATAACATTTGTTTTTTGCAGATATATTTTTTAATATTAATATTATATTGGGTTGTGATAAAAAAAACATAAATACGTCTATTAATATTAATATTGTATAATTAAAAAAATAATGATATTTGTATCCGTTTGGGAAATTTAGCCCATTTTGGCTGGGCATGCGGATTGAAAAAATTTAGTATTTTATTAAAAAAAAAAAGGTAGAAAAAGTAAAAAGATATTTAGGAATATTTTTATAAATTTAATTAAAAATTAGAGAGAATAGAAAAAGAATATAATAAAGTGAGTGATATTTATTGTAAATAAGAGTTGAATTAAGGATAGTAATTAAATATATTTGTAAAACTTGCACATATAAAGATGCTATGTATTTGGATTTTATATGCTACCTTGATTCACTCATCACTTAAACTATTCCAGTTGGAAATAGTATAAATTTGAACTTAAATTTAATTTTTTTATGATATAAATAAATATTAATTATGATATTTTTTATATAAAAATTACAATTTTGATGAATTATATATATATAAGATGTACTTCCTATGTCCATCCAAAAATATATACTTTGCTATTTATGTGGTTCGAATACAAAGTATTTTTATACATTATTTTTTATTTAAGTCATATTATATATTACAAATATTTTTAACTTTATATTCTATTTGTCATTTAAATTGATGTTTCATTTATTTTTGAATTGTCATTAATAATTTTCTTGTTTTTTTTTAAGTAAAAAATTCTACTATGTCTCTATTTTTTTATTATAAAATAAAAAATTTATTTTTTTTACTCATTCTTATTAAAATTCATGACTAGCCAAATATATATAATTTCAATTACAAAAAAAGTATTTATTTACATAAATATTATTATATACAAATTAAAATATAAATATAAAAAGTATCAATTAATTACTTCATCATTTAAATACAATATTTCTCAAATTTTATATTAAAAGTAAATGTGTGTTTCTTTTGATAAGTTTGAAAAGAAATTGTTTTGGGTTTGATATGAAAATAATATTCGATGGGAAATAGTAAAATTTAGAAAAACTTTGCAAAAGAAACATAATATTATACAAAATCCCATCCAAACATGGGCAAGTTGGCGTGGACTTGGCGTGGGCTTATAGGTTGACCGAATCAACCCTAAAACTTAGGGAGGCAAAATGTCAATTTTATTTTTTATTTATTTATTTTTTTAATAAACCATTCCCGATCTTTTAATAACAAATAAAAATTGAACCTCTTTGAAATATTCAGCCATTAAAATTAGTCTATTTGGGCTTGACACAAGAATTAAGAAAAATAAATATTTTATTGAAAAAATAATAGGTAGTTGATAGTATTTTTGACAATTTAGTTAAAAAGTAAAAGTAAACGAAGAGAGAATGTAATAAAGTTAGGGTGTGTTTGTTTGGGGGTTTGGATTTTAAGTTGAGATTTAAATGGTAAAAATTTTGAATTTGAATAGTTGTATGATGTGATATAAATAGGTATTGATGTGATGTTTTGAAGAAAAAATGAAAAATAGATGTTTGATTTGATATTTTTGAAGGGAAAAATGAGATAAAGGATTAGAAATCCAATCCCCCAAACAAGCACACCCTTAGTGATATTTGTTGTAAATAAGTGTTGAATGAAGGGTAATAATTAAATATTGATTTGTTGACTTCGCCAAAATTAATAATGAGATAAATTTAATGGACGGATTAAAAAGAAAAATGAGAATAAATATTGATTTGATTTGATGTTTTTTGGAAAATTTTTTTGAATAAATAGTAAAATTTTGATAAAATCCTACAACCGAACATACCCTAACTTTATTTGTTTTGTAGAATAAACATATAATAAAACATTATTATTATTATAAAGTTCAATCTACATAGTTTATAGTTAAAATATATGTTCCATATACTTATTACAAAAATAGATAAAATACAAATCATTTTTTGCTATTTGAAACCGTCGGTTTTGGTTTATGAAAAATGTTAAATCGAAATTAAATCTTTTGAATTATGATTTATATTTCGATTTGATAGTTTAGTTTCAGTTACGGTTTCAAAATCGACGATTTCGATGTAAAAATCGTTGGTATGAACCACTGATTTATATATTTATTCATTTTTAATAATTTTTTTTATATGTTATTATTTTTTAAAAAAATTAATTTTATTAAAAAAGGCTTAATTTTTTAATTTTATTTACACACATATTTATTATATAAAAATTATATAAATAATACTCCCTCAATCTCACTTACTTTATCTATATTTTAATTTTTGTATATCTCATTTATTCTATCATTTTCTATTTTTGGAAAAGATTTGTAAACTTTAATCGCATATTAAAATTTTAATTATAGTATTTTTAAAATTTTAATTAGATTAATGAGTTATTTTAACTTTAATCTAAAATTATTTTTATTATATAATAATTATTTTCATTAATATATTCTTAATTATTTATTAATTATACATCTACTAAATTTACGTGTCTATAGAGTAAACGAGACACTATAGCCGGGACGGAAGGAGTATTTAATTTGATTATTATGGTACTAAAAATGAGTAAAACAATAAATTTAAATTTAATTTGATTATTACAAATCAATTATAAAATATATTAGTGTATAATATTAATATAATTCAAATTAAATATATAATTGTATAATAAAAATTTATAAGACCTAAAATACGAATAATTAATAAATATCTATTTTTATTAATAGTATTTTAATTTTATAAAAAATTAATGCATATAATAATGAATGTCTTGCCCTAGTTAACTTTCAATTCATTACACATCCACACCCGCCGTCCCGACTCCCTGCTCCGTCGCACGTAACCGCCGATTTGAACTGGCGGTTTACGGTTCGGAGAAGGAGAACCCGAATCGACTGTGGAAAAACCGGTTTCGGTTCGACCACGGTTCGGTTGTTCCGATTTGAAACCGGGAACCGGCAGTTCCACCCGGCGGTTCGAAACCGATTGAGCAAGTGCAACTGTGCAAGTCAATCTTGATACTAAACCTTGAGTACGGTTTTTTATAACTCATTCCGTTCATTTACAAGGGTTACATTTATTTTTGGTGCAGTGTTTAATAAATAATAATATTTTAATTATAAGAAGTAATTAAAAGTAGTGTAATGATATTTTTATCTTTATTTTTTGTGTTAAAGTAATAATGTGATGTAAAGTAAAAGATATTTGTGAAAAAAAGTAGGGTATTTAATGAAATGTAAAATTTGTAACTGGACGTGAAACATGTAAACTTTGTAAGCGGATAGAAGGAATATTATAATTTTTGTTTTTTAAAATATAATTGTTCAGTTGTATGTTTGTCAGCGTTTGTATTTTAAATTGAGATTTGAATAATAAAAATTTTAAATTTAAATAGTTGTATGATGTAAATATGTGATATAATTAGGTGTTGATGTAATATTTTGAATGTAAAATTAATTTTTAATATAATATAAAAAATAAAAAATAATGTTTAATTTAATATTTTTAGGGAAAAAAATTGGAATGAAGAGTAGAATTTAGACAGAATTGTTGTTCGAACTGCGATTTCCGAAGGACCAAACGCCAAAGCCAATAATTGTGACGACCATTTTGAAACCTTTCCAAATTTGAAGGGGCTGAATTGTAAATAACCAAAGAACAAAAGCTACGTTTCCTTTCCGCATTCTACTTTCTTTTCCCGCCAAATCAGAGGCGGTGGTTTTCGCCGGAAATTACAGTGCGAGAGGGAGGCTATGGCGGCGGTATCATCACCGTCTTTGGACACTCCGACTTCAGAAAATAATCTTCAGGTATATATCTGTCTTCTACTATAACTATGAAGTTTTCGTGAATTTGACTAAGCTTGTGTACGCTGCAGCCTTTCTTCGTTCTTCATAAAGCCTCTCCGTCTCGCAAATCCGCACCCAAAACCCGGAGAAAAAGCGATCAATTGTCCAAAAGTTCAGATACGTCTGCGAAAGAATACGGTGATAGGTTGCGATTAGAAACTTTCAAATTACTTTGGTCCAATACCGAGTCTACTATAAAGGCAAATGCTCCATTTCTTTACCTTTACTTACCTGGATGACTATTTCTGTTGTTTGTCGCCTTATTTGTAAAATTTTTTGATATTTCAGGACGTTTTGAAGAGCATTAATGCCAATGTGTATGGTGAGATTCAGAAATGGGTTCGGGTGTCCTTTGATGCAATTCGATCCCATCAGAAGCTTGATTTCACTACCGCTACGCGTCCGTATCCGATTTTTGGTTCATCAGAGGCAGCCACCGGTGCATCTAGACAGATCTTCACGGCTTTATTATTCACAAGTAATTCATTACCCTAGAGCTTGCTTATGATATAGTTTTCGAATCCGTGCATTTTTTAAATTCACATAGGTAGTCAACGCGGTTGCAATTATCCTGGGTACTGGGAAGTGGGAACTGATTTTTTGTTTGATGAATTTGCAGAAAATATGGAGTTTGTTGATGATATACTCACATTTGTGGACCTTGGTGTTCATTTGCGATCCCATGGATGTCATGTGGCTAACCTCACATCATCGGACTTCTCTGAGAAGAATGGAGTAGGTGGCTGTCTTAAAAGCTTACTTCGCCAGTTTCTGATTGTTGATACCAATGTATGGAAGTATTTTTTTTTTGCCTAATTCACTAAGCATTGATACAACATAGTCTATGTTGTAAAATGGATTCCGGAGCTAATATTTGTTCTTCACTTGTTATCTGATTCTTAATAGGCACCTGAGATGTCTGTTTTAGCTTCGTGGTACACTGAGCAAGAGAACTATGGGAATCCACTTGTTGTGATAATTGAAGATGTGGAAAGATGCTGTGTTTCTGTCCTGGCTACTTTTATTGCAATGTTGAGGTATTGTGGCTATTTTGATTATAAAGTAATCAGTCTTGACTTAATATTGCGAGAGCCATTTGTTTGCAATCTTGCCATTTTTGTGCCTGTTTGGCAGATCTATGGTTTTAACAATCCTCTCTTGACAGGGAATGGGTAGTGAAAATTCCAGTAATTTTAATCCTGGGAGTAGCAACGACTGTTGATGTTCTGAGAAACATCCTAAGTTCTAGCGTATGCTTGCATTTATCTGTTTGTGAATTCACTTTGGGTACCCCAGCTGAAAGGATGGATGCCATTGTTGAGGCTATTCTTCTGAAAAATTGTGGAGGCTTTAGTATTGGAAAACATGCGTCTACTTTTCTGAGAAATTACTTCATTAAGCATGATGGTACATTGACGTTATTTGTTAGAGCTCTCAGGGTTAGTATAGTGGCCTCACACTTTCTGTAAACTAAAATTTCTATATATTGGTATGTAAAAGTTTTAACTAAGATATTTCTATTTTCTCACAATTGTCTGTAGATTGCTATGGCCCAACATGTCTTTGTGGAGCCTTCAAGCATTGCTCTTAGGAAATTTGTGAATGAAGAAGACACAGAGGCAAGTTACCTACGTTTTGTCACTCAAACTTCCCACTTTGTGTTGTTTTTGTCTTCCTGATTGTTGGTTGGAAGTTCTGTTTTTTCTTGTTTTAGTTCCTGAGTATGAAATATTTCTGTCTATTGAGATTTATATATTCTTACACTGTGCTTATCTATAGTGCTTAGAACTTCAATAGTTCAGATTTGATGATTTTATGTCTCCATCACTCTGTGAATTTTCATTTGTCATAGTAAAACATTAATTAGAAAATATTTTGAAGAAAGTTTCTATTCTTCCACCATGGAATTGAACTATGATATTTTACGCATTCCTGGTTTAACTTTTATGAAATTATACCGCATTTGTAACCATTGCAGGGCATTGATGGTGAGAGTATGTTACCTGAAGATACTGTGCTCAAGCTGTTGGTTGATCTTCCATCTTTACAAAGGTTTTGGAAATATATTGCTTTAAAAGTGACATGTATCTTTTAAGTTGAGTTACATAAGTTTCTGATCTAGAACTACATATACAAGGTGTCGTCAGCGTGGCATCAACTGCATAGACTTGGCCTATTGTTTGTCAGAGCTGAAAAGACTAAATAGACTACGAAGTTCTTCTGTCATGGTAAACTTTTGAGCTAGTAACTTCATTGTAGCTTGAATAACTTCAACATTTTAAACTAGACTAACACCACTTTGCTCAGGAAGCTGTGTGAGAAAACTACATTGTCTATGTATATAATTATATTCTATATATATACACACACATTAAAATCTCCAAATCTCCATAGGATTTCCTCATGTGAACTTTTTTTTTTTTGTCAATAAACAGAACCTTTTATTTTGCACTTGCTGATACGTAGATATGCTCTATTCATCTGTACCATTCATGAACATCATATATATATATATCTCTGATAGAAGCATGCTGAAGAATGGATTTTTTATTTGTGTATTTGTCAATTCTTCTCAGTGCCTGCACGAAGTTGGAAAACACCGCAAAAATTCTTTGTTAGATTTATATTGTCAGATGCTCCAATCTGATTCAGCCAACTCTAGTTTTCCCGTTCACACTCAAACCAACAAAGGGAATGCCGTATCACCACATGATGGCCATTTGCTTGGCTCTTCTCAAATTGAAAGTTATGCTGCTTGGGCCCTCCAGATAGTGAGGTAAAATTCACACTTTTGAATTAGAAAAGAAGTATTGAACTTCATGATCTTACTTGCTCCAGCAGAATATAGGAATAGCTTGAAAGATCAAGTTTGTTGGAGTAAAATATAATAAAAGGCAATAACACTAGGCAATATACTTGATAGATATATTTTGGTGCACTGTTTAAAATGCTGATGGAAGTCATTTCCAGGAAGAATCTGACTATGTTCCGACCTGAGGGAAATTGATTCCTCTTTTCTATGACTTGCTTACATATAATATCTATTGAAATAATATTAGTTTGTAAATCTAGAGCTTTGAGTTGTTTGTATTGACAGGAATTTGCCAGCCACCGAGCTGTCCAAGTTGCTCAGCAGGTGGGAAATTCTTACCAGAGGCGTTGAAGAGGTATTCTCACTCTTTATTCTCAAGGGTGGCATATTTATGATTCTGTACTTTCACATCATAGTGTTATAACTATGAATCATACTGCATTCTGCATTATAATAGCTTAACTGAACTAATACTCATGCATAGTTTTCAAAATTGTTGATTAGAAATGATAATTCAAACTCTAGGGATGTGTTTGTATTAGGGTTTGGATTTGGATTGGGGGTTTGTACATCATATGAATTTGAATCGCAATAATATTTGACGTGTTTGATGTGATGTTTTGAATAAACATTTCATTTGTTGTGTAATATATTATATAAAAAATAAGTGTTTGATTCGATAATTTGTGGGAGGGGTGAAGTTTGGGAATAGCCCAAACCCAATCCAATGGATAAATTGTTCAATTCGTGTATAGAAGTGAGGGGAATAATGACACTATGCGCTGGAGAAAAGCATCTGTTGAGAAGTTTAAGCATTTAATTTGTAATAACTTGAATGATGCTCTATCTATATGAGGATCCAAGTATGTAACATAGATTTTATCCTGCCTGATCAATAAGAAAAATGAATCCTGGTTTTATGCATTTTGATATGTTGTTACGAGACAATTTAATATCTGACCTGCCTGTAAAATTGATTTGCCCAGATCCCTGAGAAGATAAAGGAGCTACAATCCCTGACAACGTTAGAGGGGAGTGCAAAATCTGACCCGGCAGAGGCATCCAAGTATTTCTCATTGTTGCCTCACCTAAATTCGGATAATATGATTAGATGAATGCTTGCAAGTTAGAAAAACTCTACAATATCATATTCGCCGACTATTCCATTGGTTATTCTAAGTTTCATATGAGATGGCAGAGATACTTGGTTATATATCAGTTGGTCCCTTGATGCCACTCCAGTTGATCTGTAGTTTAAAAACTTAATATCGAACCATGGATAGCTATCAAACTGTATTGTCACGGTGTATTTTTGACCCTCTACGATTCTTAACTTCCATGATATAACTTGAGAAATAATATTTTCCTAGGACATTTACTGTTGTTACTTTTTGTAATTTCCTAATACTAATCAACTTCTTCATTCTTTGACAATCTTGCAGAAGGCCGACATCCAGAAATCGTTTAAATCAGAAGAGAGATGAAATCACTGCCAATGAAAAGGTTGCCACATTTCTGGAGTATATGGTCAGGTAGGCATCTCAATATCTTGGGTCCATTGCGAAAACTTCTTGGTTTCACTATATTCATTTCTCTGCAACTTCAACCCAATTCTTGAATCCTGAAATTGAAAATATAATTCATATAGCTCATGATCTGTTGTCCATACGCTGATTGGTATCAAAATTTTGAATTATGAAATTGAAAAATATATAACATGAATAAATTATGCAGTATGTAGCTCAAGCTGTTTATGTTTGAATCAATTAATAATGAATCTATCATAAATTTATTTTTGTTGAGATACTTTTCTGATTTGATGCCTTTTGGTTCATGACTCAGGCAATACATCAAGCCCATTGAAAGTATTCCCTTCAATGAAGTAGTCTTCTACGATGATGTCGAAAAACTTCAAGCAGTTGCGTGATCTTCTATATGATCTTTTTTTGATATGATCTTTTAATAACACAAGAACTTACTTCCTTTCGGTCACGATCAGCATGCTAATACTACAACCGTTCTTGCGCTTTTTTCATTAGGCTTTGATAGGAGACCCGAGAAGACGAATCCAAGCCGATCTTTTGGACTCCAACAAATTTCTTAAGTGTTCCTGCTGCAGAAAGAACACGGCCGTGTTACTTCCATCCATGCATCATACTTCCATATTGTAAGCATAACCCATTTCTTCCTAACAATAACCATTCATACTGATCTCCCACTGAGTATATAATCATGAGAATTCGCTGTTCAGGTATTCCTTGGCTCAAGAGCACGGCGATCTCATCAATCTTCACGAATGGTTCCACTCATTCAACGCAGTTCTTCGCCAGCCTCCTCCTGATACCAACAAGAAGAGGCTGCGAGCATCGCCATCCCCGAAAAAACGAAAACCAGAATCTAAGAACAAAAGCGATGCTTCCATCCAGTATCCTTCTGTCATTTTCTTTGATAGCAATTTGCATCTCATTAGTGCTGATTATATATATATGGAAAAAGAGGGATTCCTTAATTTAATAAAGAGCAGAGTTTTGCAGGGGAGTTGTGGAGCTGCAGATAACGGGGCTGATTCGGATGCCAACCAAAAAACGACCTGATTATGTACACAGGACTGCATTTGGACTTTGACAGGTATGCATAACAATCCTTCTCTTCTTTAGTTTAAATACATGGTTGTTTTTTTGAATTTATTTTAAGGTAAACTGATTTTTAGTTGCGTAATTGACTTTTTTATCATTTTAGTTTTATAAGTGGAGCATGTTTGCAATTGAATTTTTTTTGCAATTTTACTCTTTCGGCGCCGGAGATGCTTACGTGGCTCGCTGGAGGACACGTGTATGCCAAATCAGCGACACTGGCCGGACATGTGACTATTTAAATTTTATTTTTTTAAAAAAAAATTCAACTTTTACAAAAAAGACAATAAATAAATTATTATTTTTTTTAAAAAAAAATAAAAATCTATGTGTTTGTTACTCATCTATCGGATATGTGTCATCCGACCAGTCACGCAGGTGCTACGTAGGCATCTCCGGTACTGGAGGATTAAAAGTGCGAAAGTTCATCTAAGGGACTAATTTGTGACATGCTTGGGTTACAGTTACGAAACTAAAATGATAAAAAAGGTTGGGTTAGAACTGTTATTAATTGCCTTCTATTGTCTATTTTATGCAAGTATCCGAGATATTTTATGAAAATTTGTTATGAAAATTTGTTGTTTTAGAGAAAACAAAATTTGTATTTAATATCAATATTAACAATATGTTGATAATTAAGCATTATTCTGATTATTAAATAATATTTTTTAGTGTAGTAAATATGGTATATAAATATTTTGATATTTTCTAATTGGAATGGATGAAATACCAAAAATTTAGTACACCGAACTTATCATATTGCAAGATGCTAAATTTACTGAAATTTTTGGTGTACTTATATTTTTGGTACATTTTTTCGGTGTACTAAATTTTTGGTACATTTGTTTCTGCATTGAAAGTTTTGGTACAATGTTGGGATATAATTTTTAAATGTTCGTGATTTTAATCTTTTATTTTGATTTTAGTTTATATATATATATATTATTAAACAGTAGTTTAAACGTAATGTTATATGAAATTGAATTATTTAATTTTTTACAATTAATAGTAAAAATTGCTTACCATTTTTTAAATATATATTTTGGGTACAGATGTTTGATAAAATCGATGGGATCATGGGAGCAGGCAGCCGATTTAACTCCTTCAACCACTGTGAGCATACTTATGTACTGACTGGCGTTTGTTTTTACTTTTATCTTGTTAGAATTACAATACGATTTATTTATTTATTTAATGTGAATGAGTTATGTTTAATAATCTTAATATATTAAAATAAAAGGATAATCTACAGCACAAAATATTTTCCTGCTTTTTTTAAAAAAAAATATATTTCGGATACATTCTTTTTATTTTTATTTTTAGGCATTTAGGAAGTTTTCTAGAGTATATATAATTTTAATAAGAAAGAAAAGCTAAATATAATATCATGACTAAATAATAGATTTAAACAAAAACAAATATTAAATTTTAGAAGAAATAGTGCATTTTATGTTCCAAAGAAAAATAAATTTGAAACACAATCCTGTACAAAAAAAATTTCATATTATATTTAGGGTGTGTTTGTTTGGGGGTTTAGATTTTGAGTTGGGATTTGAATAGTAAAAATTTTGAATTTGAATAGTTGTATGATGTGATATAAATAGGTGTTGATGTGATATTTTGAATGTAAAATTAATTTTTAGTATAATATAAAAAATGAAAAATAGGTGTTTGATTTCATGTTTTTGGGGGAAAAAAATTGGATGAATAGTAAAAATCTAATTAAATCCCCCAAACAAATACACCCTTAGTAAAATGTATATAGTTTTAATCTCAATTATTTATTTATTTACACCATTACTATAGAAAATTTTACATTTTACTATTATAGAAGTATAAAAATAATATTAAAATATATTTATTAATTTCCGTATTTAATAGTAGTAACGAGCACTTTGAGTATTTGTTTTCCAAATAACTTAAAGGTTATGTTTCTTTTGATGTAGTTTAAATTTTTAATTTGAGTTTAATATTAAAATAATACTCCCTCCATCCCACATAATTTGTCCTTAATTTTTATTTTTGTCTGCCCATAACTTGTCCTTTTTATTTTTGGAAATATAATTATAAACTTTAATAGCATTTTAAATTTTATAATTTTCTTAATTTTAATTAAACCATTTACTTATCTTAATCTTAATTTATAATTATTTTTATTAAATAATAATTATTTTTACTAATACATTTCTTAATTATTTATTAATTATACTTTAATTAAATTCCAGTGTTTACAATAATATATCCATATTACATTAGACGGAGGGAGTATATAATTAAATGTATTATGAGTAAAAAAAATATATTTTTTTTGAAAAATGCAAAGTTCAAATAATAAAAATGTGAGGTTTGTGATTAAAGAAACAAACCCTAAGTCTTTCATAAATATATTCTTTTATTTAATTCTTACACGAAAATTTATCTTTCTTTCTAAATTACCATATAAAAAACTAACGAGGGAAGCTGGACTAGTCGAAGCAAAACGAAGTATATATGTGGGCCTGGCAGAATTGGGCTTGGATGGATAAACCGGACCATTCCGGTTTATTGGGCTTTAATTGGGGCTAGCTAATTTGGGCTTGGTTTATTGGGCCGAGTAGAACTGTAGTTAGATCGCATGGACTATAATGGGCCGACCCATATTTTGGATTTGGGTCTTAATAATTTGGGCCCGACACTCTTAAAGGCCCAAATAATATCCCAGCCCAATGTACAAGGCCCAGTCTATATGTGCCAAAGCACAGGGAAGAGAGAACCCACAGCTCATACTCCATCTGCTCCGATCCAATCACTGATCAACACTGGTTGCTTTCTGCCGCTGCTACAGGCGGCGCCGAATCTACAGCCACCACGTACACTTCATCATTACTGGACTGACTACTGACTTCCTCATTCATTCCTGCAGGCTGCTGCACTAATGAATTCTGGTGCCTTCGCAGTCACCACCGCATGCGGTTATCGGCGCACCTTGTTGATTAATGGCTGCTCGTTCCATTCCTTCTCCACCAACGCCTCGGATATAGCTCCGAAGCCATCGGCGGTGTCGTTTGGGGGAAACAATAGCAGAACCGCTGTTGTTTCTGGAGTAAGGCTGGATAGTCGGCGGAGGAAGATGAGCGCGAGCGCGGCGGCGGGGACGAGTACAACGGAGACCTTGCAGAAAGGAATAGCGGAATTCTACGATGAGTCGTCGGGGATATGGGAGGATATTTGGGGAGACCACATGCACCACGGTTTCTACGAGCCTGACTCCGCCGCCGCCATCTCCGACCACCGCTCCGCTCAGATCCGCATGATTGAGGAGTCGCTTCACTTTGCTTCACTCTCCGGTGCGTATCTAAATCCTTATTCTGGGAGAAAATTCAATTCGTAGCTCAATAGTACCTGTAAATGAATAATAATCACAAAAATTTTAAGAATCAATCCATCCGATATGAGATTCTCGAGATTAACCGACACGGAACTTCTGTTGGTGCGATTAGAGCATAATTAGTTACATTCAACATGATTTCAAATTTAATCATCCATCCGCTTTCACATATTAGATTCGAGTACCTCTTAATAGCAGATGTTCATTCTTACCTTCGACGTTTCAGATGATTCCGCAAAGAAGCCACGAACAATTGTGGATGTAGGGTGTGGAATTGGGGGCAGTTCCAGATACCTGGCCAGAAAATTTGGGGCTCAATGTCAAGGGATAACCTTAAGCCCTGTTCAAGCACAGAGAGGTCAACAGCTTGCTGCTGCTCAAGGATTAGATAATCAGGCACGTAGATTTGGCTCATACTCTTATTCTGTGTTCAAATTTTCATTGCTGAATAGTGATTCAGATTATCGAAGCTATGCACTAAAACCAATAGGTGTAAAATTTCATTGCTCATACTCTTGTTTGGAGGTTTTAGATTTTGAATTAAAATAAGTGTTTGATGTGATATAGGTACTAATACTATGTTTTAAATGCAAAATTAATTTTTTTTCTATAATATAAAAGAGAAAAAAAATTATAGTTGTTTAATTCAATGGATTTGGATGAATAGTATAAATCCTCCAAAATTCTCAAACAAAGTTGTTCTTATTTACGGTATTTCTGTAATGTTAGATATGAGAACGCTTGTCGATAATATAGAAAATGAGATTTTATGATGAATTGTGGACATTTTTTGGGCGCCCAGAGTATATTATATAGATATTTGTAATATTAATTGTGAAGTTTATATATCTTTTGTGGTTTGCGTGAACATAATAAGTATTGCTTTCAACACATATATGGCAGGTTTCCTTTCAAGTAGCCGATGCATTGAATCAACCATTTCCAGATGGTCAATTCGATTTGGTTTGGTCTATGGAGAGCGGCGAACACATGCCCGACAAAGCAAAGGTTCTCGATCTTTAGCCATTTTTCTAATGGTCTGTTTGGCGATTATCCTCATCTGTATGTCTCTTTATAATTGTATATAGTTTGTGAACGAGCTGGCTCGGGTAGCTGCTCCTGGTGGAACGATAATTATAGTTACATGGTGCCATAGGGATTTGTCGCCTTCCGAAGAGTCTCTACACCCGGAGGAGAAAGATCTATTGGACAAAATTTGCAGGGCTTATTATCTTCCGCAATGGTGTTCTGCTTCCGACTATGTTAGGTTGCTTCAGTCCCTTTCGTTGGAGGTACGTATCGTTCGATTCTTTGCACTATCTAGTCTGAGTATTCGATGTTCTTACACGAAGACTGTATGTTTGTTTTAGGATATTAAAACGGCAGACTGGTCTGCTTATGTTGCTCCGTTTTGGCCTGCTGTGATCAAATCTGCCTTGTCTTGGAAAGGCATCACCTCCTTGTTGCGAAGTGGTACTATCTACACACATATATATATATATACTTCTTTCGCCAAATTTATTCTTACTGTTCATTTTAGTTAGTTAAATTTACCAAATTATTAATTTTAGCAAAGTCAACGAATCAACATTTAATTATTATTATTTTTCAACACTTGTTTACAACAAATACCACTACTTTTATTACATTATCTCTTTTAATTTATTTTAATATATAATTAAATTCTCAATAATTTTTTCAACTATCTTTCTATTTTTATTATTTTTTCAATAGAATATTTATTTCTGTGACCGACTCAAATGGATTCATTTTAATGGACGGAGAGGGTATATAGCAAGACTCTTATGGATTGATATCAGGGTGTGATAGCAGCCTTTTTGTTACATATCTTGTTCACAGTTTTGGATGTTTTGTTACAAATCTTATAGGGAATGATGTTTTTACATGTTTTTGTTGTTTTTTTTTTTATTGTTATGTATATATATATATATATTATATTGTATCTTTTGGATAATATTTTTGAGAGTCGTATGGGAATAAAACATTACGAGGAACTTCTTTGTTTACTAATCAGGATGGAAGACGATAAGAGGGGCCCTTGTGATGCCACTGATGATGGAAGGATACAAGAAGGGTGTAATAAAATTTGCCATTATTACATGCCGGAAGCCGGCTGCGTGATTCGATTTACCATCCCCCGAATTATGTATATATATATACAAGAAAGCAGAAACAAACAGTCAGTGGGAATTGAATGAAGATGACTAAAAGGTATGTATGCAAATGCAATGCAAGTCATTTTCTGTTATCTTTTGAAATCTTGCTAATGTGTTACAAATTATCAATAAAATTAGGAGTTTCAATGGCATGGGATGGGATGGTACTCTTTGGAATTATTACCTGAAATACTCTATAGCATTATGTAGATGATGTGTGATGGGAGAGGTTAAATTTGCTAAAATGAAATATAATCTATGACATGGGAATCCGTAGGTTAGATCTAACTTTGATCTAATGACCTTACAAGTTATTATTAAGCCGTCGCTTGATAAGCTAAGTTACATTAAGCGAATTATATATAGTAGGTAGACCTAGAGCTACGAGAGTTTGAACCCATGACCATAAGCCAATTGGTTCACCCCACACTACCATGCTATCCCTTCTACTTTGCTAATTTTGAATACAATACTAGGAGTGTGTAAGTGCTTTCTTGAAATTTTTGCTATATATATATATATATATTTTTTTTTTTTTAAATGTGCGAATTCGCAGTTGCTACCTGAAAATGCACACCGGGTAAACCCCCACTAAACCTAATATCCTGTAAACTAAGTCCGACAAATCAGTCACACTAGGCGAATTATATAGGCAAATCACGTTGGGCGAACCATGTATGGTAGGTAACCACATTTTCAAAATTTTTGGTAATTTTGAATACAACACATGTGGTGAGCAAGTGCTTTTTTGAAATTTTGGTTAAAAGATGTATTTGTTCGAAGGATTTAGTGGATTTTTACGTTTCACATAAAATTTTTTCTCAAAAAACAGTACATTAAATATTTATTTTTTATTTTTTATATTATATTAAAAATTAATTTTTTATTCAAAATATAACATTAATATTTATTTATATCATATTATACTACCATTTTAATTCAGTTTTTTTACTATTTAAATCTCCTTCCAAAATCTAAAACCCAAACATAGTGTTCTGTGAATAAGTGGAAAAACGTCATCAGGCACCACCTGTTTTGTCTCTACTAATTATAGCATGTTCTAGCATGTTCTAAACTAATACTAGTATTATATATATGTATATGTATTTTTGGGAGTTTGATTTTGTATTTTTATCGGATTTTTTTTTTCAAAAATAAATTGAAAAATAAAAAAATTAAAATGGGGCTGTAACAGGGCCTGAACTTCTAGGTCCAATATAAAATCATGCAGGTCCCGACTCGAAATAAATTGGACCGGGCTGGCCCGAAATTTTCATCCCTACTGAAAAAATTCACATCAAATTATTTACATGTTTGTTTTGTTATTTTTTTTTTTTAAAAAAAATTATTTTAAGAATATTTTAGTGTGTACTCTCTCTTCCGACTAATTTGTTCCATTTAAGATTAGACACTGAGTTTTAAGTATTGTGTTATTAGTGAGTAATTAAAAAGTGTATTATTAAAAATAATGATGATTTAATAAAAATAAGTCTATATTAAGATTAAGATTATTAAATAGTTTTGTTAAAATAAAAAAAAAATTATAAATTATGGATTATAAATTTTAGAATGTGATTAAAGTGTATAATTATATTTTAAAAAAAAAATAACAAATTAAGTAAGACAAACAAAAATAGAAATAGTAGACAAATTAAGTAAGAAGGAGGAATTAACATTTTGCGGAAAAAGACATCATCTTTACAAATAATTGTTACAATCTACGGTATTAAATCTTCTATGTACACCTATGCTACCGTGTTTTTAAAAGAAGTTGTTCCAATTGCAAAAGTTGATGGGAAACAAATTAACCTGGTTATTGTCATTGTCATTGCTTCTTCCGTATCTTGACTTCCATGAGATTAGCTATGAGTCCCGGCCGTGATATCTCAATGCTATCAGCATCAATCTGGTTGGATAGCATCTTTATAACGTCGGACATTGTAGGCCTCCGTTTTGCAGACTCTTGCACGCAGAGCAGCCCGGCCCGGAGACTCCGGGCTGCTTCTTCCCTCGAAAATTCGCCCTTTAAAGCACAATCCACCAGCTCCAAAAGGTTATTAGCATTGTGCAATTCCCATGCCTACATGCAGAGGGTAGAATGATATATAAATCAGTGTTTGAAAGGTGGAGTGTTTCATTCCATGTTCATAATAACATTATTTATTAATAATTTTATAAAAAAATAATTATTTATTTATTTACAAAATATCACGTCGTCAAATGTGTAAGATGACGTTTGCTCTACCTACGTACCTTCTCTACTAAGAACTGTTCGCCATAGTCGATATGGATACCAACAACAGGTTGTCCGCTGATGATTTCCAGCAGAAGCACTCCGAAGCTGTACACATCTGATTTTCGTGTTAGACGACCAGTGTACGCGTATTCCGGAGCTAGATAACCTCTTTTCCCAAAAACACACGTCTCAGCAACATGATCAGATCAGTATTACAGTAGTAGTAGTAGTAGTAGTAGTAGTAGTAGTAGTGGTGCTTACAATGTTCCGGCGACGTGAGTGCTAATGTGCGATTCGCCGTCTCGGAACAGTTTCGCCATGCCGAAATCCGCGAGCTTAGCCGTGGAGTTGTGATCCAGAAGTATGTTGCTGGACTTGATGTCTCTGTGCACAATGTGAGGATTCACTTCTTCGTGGAGGTGACAAATCCCCTTGGCGATGCCTAATGCTATGGTTTTCCTCAGTTTCCATGTGAATTTTGCTCTGTTCTGCTCTGTTCCTGCGGTTATGGAGGTTTCAACATTTGTTTAAAAAATTTTATGCGAAATTGAAGGTTTCTGGATTGTGTTCTTACCGAGGTATGTGTGGCTGAGGCTGTTGTTCTCCATATAATCATAAACCAGAAGCCTTTGAGCTCCATCGACGCAGCATCCTCTGAGGTTAACCAGATTTTCATGGCGGATATCTGACAGAGCTGTTATCTCGGCGGCGAATTCTCTCTCCTTTTGGAGTGATTCCAGTTCAACTGTGAGAACTTTGACTGCTATAAATCTACCATCTCCGCTCAGCCGTCCCTATATTATATATATATATATATATATATATTTGAATTATTGACCGGAAATAGATTGACATAATTGATGAGCTCATAGATCTTCATTATTCATCATCAATGTCGAACAGTCAGAGAGAACTGAAAATTGCTTTATTAGAATTTACCTTGTAAACAGCGCCGAATGCGCCCTCTCCGAGCTTGTTCGTGAAGCCATGGGTAGCAGCTTTCAGTTCATTGTAAGTGAAAACGCTAAAATTGCGATTCGAAGGAATTCGTCCATCATCTGCTCCAGGATTAGATTATATAATAAGTATATTATAGAGATAATCAACAATCTCTTCTGAAATAAATTCATCGCTGAATGAAAGCATTTCCAGTTCCAACCTCTGAAACTATACGCGAACATACATACATACCTTCGTCCGCCTCGATTGTACTTGTGTCGATCGCGGCGAACGTAGCAGCGGAGTTCTGGAAGCAGCGGAAAAAGGCAGAACCGAATTTCATGAGAGAATCAAAATCAATTGTATCTGTGAATTCTTCTTCTCCAACTGAAATTCCGTGATAAGATGAATCATGAGCAACTGGATCAACAATTTTACAGCACAGTGATGGAAGAGCAAGAGACGCCAAATCGCCGGAGTTTGAGAAAATGAAGAGCAAATTCGTGTTGAAATTCATATATATGTATATATTATACATATATATATATACTGATATACATCACTATGCCGCACACACGACCAACGTGAAGAAGCCGCTGAATCCAGCAGCACTCAGGAGTTGGGATCCCGGAAGTATCCATACGTTGGTCCGCATGCATTCTGGTGTTGAGCTCCTGGGACCTCGCTTTTCAGAAAGCAGTTACCATGGTCTATAGCTCTATATCTGTATTGCTCTATAGATTGGCTGACTTTCAATCAAATAATAATGAGAGTTGTTGTTCGTTTGGTTGCAAAATTTAAATATATATACATATTTTTATATAATTATACATAGATATTTAAATAAAAATTTTATTTAATATGCATGTTGAGGGTGTGATTGTTTGGAAGTTTGGATTTTTTTGTTGGAATTTTAACGGTAAAAAATTTTGAATTAAAATAATTGTATTATATGCTATAAATATGTGTTAATGGAATATTCTAAATGTAAATATAATTTTAAATATAATATAAAATAAAAAATAAATATTTTGGTTTGATGTCTTTTTAGAATTTTTTTTAATAAAAATTACAAAATTAAGGAAATATAATAAAAGAACATACATAAATTTAATTTAATATTTTAAAAATATATATGAATATTGAGGGTTTTTGTAAAAATGATATATTTTGGCAAATAGATAAATACATGATAAAAATGATAAAAGGTATACACAGGAAATTTTTTTTTTAATTTATTTTTAGTAGTATGATATTTATAAATATTTTTAAAAAATACAATATATATGTATTAATACAATACATATAATATATGCTTTATTTACTAAAACAAATAATAAATTCCATATTTTCTCCATCCGTCAGAGTCACATTTATCTTATGCGTCATTGTATTTAACATTAAAAATATCCTTATATTTGTTTAATTTTTTGTACAAATGTTCATCTATTAGTATTATAAGACATTGATCAAAGTATTTTTGCAATTTTTTCTTAATTTATACTATATTTTGATATAATAATTAATAATCAAATATCAACATGCAAAAAATAAATAGAGCCTTAAAAGCCGGACAAAAATAGTGTAAAATATCATTTTTTGTATTACTGAAACAAATTTCTATATTTAACATTAAAAAAAAAATATATTCCTGTAAAACACAATGAACTTACTCTATGTTTCATAAGGGTAAAATGGTCAGACAAGAGATCCCGTAGGAATGACCTGGTGGTATAGGGGTTGGACTTGCGACCGTGAGGTCATGGGTTCAGTCACCAGTCACACATGCTTCGCCTAGTGTGACTTTCCCGTTGGGCCTTGTTTGTAGGGTATTAGGTTCGGCCGGGAATTTACTTAGGGTGTGTTTGTTTGGGGGTTTGGATTTTGAGTTGGGATTTGAAAAATTTTGAATTTGAATAATTGTATGATGTGATATAAATAAGTGTTGATGTGATGTTTTGAATGTAAAATTGATTTTTAGTATAATATAAAAAATGAAAAGTAAGTGTTTGATTTGATACTTTTGGGTGGAAAAAATGGGATGAATAGTGAAAATCTAATCTAATCTCCCAAACAAACACACCCTTAGTGCGCACTTTCGGATAGCAGCTGCGGGCTCATCCAAAAAAAACAAAATATGGTCAGACAGGAGGTGTAGATTATCCCATGGTACTCGAAACACATAAAAAAAACTAAAACAACGGATGTTGATTTCCACGTCATTAAATAAAAATGATCAAATAAGACGAACGTTTAGTCATATTTTTAAGTTAGAGTCAAAATACAAATAATTAAATATTATTGTACTTGCATTAAATAAAATCCTAAATTTCAGAAAATCTAGAAAAGTTCAAAACACAGTCAAAAGATTTAGATAAAAGTAATCACATTGCATTACATTATTTTAATTTATTTATGGGGTGTTTGTTTGGAGGATTGGATTTAAATTCAACTATTCATTCAATTTTTTCCATCAAAAAATATTAAATCAAACACCTATTTTTTATTTTTTTATATTATACTAAAAATCAATTTTACATTCAAAACATCACATCAACGCCTATTTATATCACATCATACAACTATTTTAAGTTCAAAATTTTTACTATTCAAATCCCAATCCAAAATCCAAACCCTCAAACAAACACACCGTTACCAGGAAATTGCAGTATATGAATTTATATACTCTTAATTAATAATATATTTTAGATATCAAATGTGAAATAAACCTTAGAGATCTTTTGACAGTTTTAAACTCGATAGATAAATATTTATTTATTTTTTTAATATTATATTAAAAATTAATTTAAAATTTAAAACATTATATAAAAAGAACAGCTCTTTATATCATAACAAATTTAATATCCAAACTCAAACGTTCAAATTCTAACAAATTCATCTTTTTTGATATAAATATTTTATTAGAAAAATTTGAATAAATCCTAAAATAGATATGATTTAAAATAATATAATCTTAATAATCATATCTCAAATTCTATCTCTATATATATATATTGATCATATCAAATGAAATATATATATATATATACACACACATTTACAAAATATAAAATAAAACATCTAAATTTATACTATTTTTAAAAATATTCAAAAGTCATACTCCCATCGTTCGTCACAGATGACTTTTGTTTTTCTTTTTTTGGTAGTCCCACAAAAAATTACCTATTTTAATTTATCAATATTGAATACAATTAATAAATATAAATCAATTTAATTAAATTTTTAAATTTTTTACATTGAAAAAATAAAATTCGAAACAAAGTAAAAACAACAGACTTTAGGGTATTTTTGAGAAAACACCTTCCTCTATCCAATTAAAATACCAACTTATATAATATTTAAAAGAAAATCAAATTAAATGTAGCTTAATGCCTGCAAGTGAAACACAACCGACATAATTTCTCTTACCGAAGTGGATGGATTAACCTTCGAAAGAATAATTGGTTTTCCCAACATGTACGGAGAAGAATCCATTTACAAATTCACTAAAATGTTGTGACTATTTCTTCGCAAATTATAAGATTTCTGATTTACTTACTTTTGTCTAGTTAGAGCAAATTATACGGGAGCTCAAGTGGTTTTGAACAAGACTTGTCAGAGAATAGCTGATGTAATAAAAAATAAAAGTGTTACGTCCGTAAAAAACATATAAAATTTTATTTTTTATTTTAAAATTTGATTTGTATTTTATTTTTACACTAGAGACATCTGTACAACAAACAAATTAAGCTTTTTTTTTTTTTTTTGGCATTGTGTTTAATTATTACCTCTCACACAAATACAAGTTTTTTTTTTTTTATTTTTTTTTATTGGCGTTATGCTTTACTGGTATTAGCGATTACATTATTTTTCTATTATTACCTTATTAGTATAAAATTCATAAATTATTAGATTATGAAAGCAAACAAAAAACACTCGAAATTAGAATAAAGGTAAAAGGTTAAAATAAAAATTCGTAATAAATTGAACCAATAGATATTTAAACAAAAAAAAATTACAAAAATACTCTGTTTTTTTTTTTAAAAAAATTTAAATAATATTTCATTTAATGTTTGTGTCAATAGGAATTAAATAATAGTATTATTTATTTGAAATAAAAAGTAAACACAAGTGAATTTACTGTGTCTCTTTTAAAAAATAAGAAAATACCAATAGATACCTATTATTAGTGTTTTTTCAATTTTATTACGTATCATCATCGATTTTATATAAATATATAGTTTTATTTTTTCACAAATATATTATATCTATAATAAAAAAATTTAAAATAAAATCACAAGTAAATATTTATATATATTTTTAGTCCATCCTCCAATAATGTGTAGTTATAATTTGTTTTTGAAAAACATTCTATCAAATTATTTGTGCGTTGATTGATATATTAAATATATATTAATCTCTCTGTTTCATAAGTAAATATCCATTTTTTTATGTAATTTTAGAAATATTAATATTATATTAAAATATAGTAGGAATAAAGTAGAAATGACTAAAATAACCTTATTAGTAAGTATGATATAAAAGTAATGACATTTGTGTAATATTTTGTAAGTTGTAAAGGTATTTGTAATGTTAGGTAGATAATATAATTACTAAAAAATGAAATAGATATTTTGTTATGAGATGGACTAAAATGAAAAAATGAATACTTTGTTATGGGATTGAGAGAATAGTTAAAATGAGAAAAATTTAAAGTATTCTACCTACTGTTAGAATAATTGAATAGTCCTACAAAAAATTAAGGGTGCGTTTGTTTGGGGGTTTGGATTTTGAGTTGGGATTTGAATAGTAAAAATTTTGAATTTGAATAGTTGTATGATGTGATATAAATGGTTATTGATGCGATATTTTGAATGTAAAATTAATTTTTAGTATAATATAAAAAATGAAAAATAGGTGTTTAATTTGATATTTTTGGGGGAAAAAATGGAATGAATAGTGTATATTAAATCCAATCTCCCAAACAAACACACCATAAGAAGATGAATCTCTACCATTCAATTAAATTAATTATATATTGTCTCTATCCGGCTCTAAAGATCTCATTTATTTTGTGCGTGTTAATCTTATAATATTATTATAATGATATTTGTGAAAAAAATTATACAAATATAATGATATTTTTAATGTTAAATACAATGACTCAAAAAGATAAATGAAAAGTAATATAAAGAGGTTAATTGAGTATAAATATGATACAAGAATTTAACTTATATTTTTTAAATTTTGGCACTATATATCCATATAATTTTTTTTAGATAATATAAAATTAAATATATATATATATTAGCGTGTAACTCGTGCTGTGCTATGCATGAATTTTTTTATATTAAATTTTACTATATATTGATTTAATATTTTTTTATAAGTAATATATTTATAATTTTTATATATAATATATATTATTCGAATAAAATCAATTTGAAAAATCATATACTCAATAAAAATTTAAAAATATATTTCTTCCATTCCACATAATTTATTCTTATTTTTTTATTTTTATCTGTTCACATAATTTGTCCATAATTTATATTTTAAAACTTTTCGTAATTTTTTCTATATGAACTTTTTAAATATTATTTCAAATAAATATATATAAAAGAGAATTTTATATAATTTACCGTAAAACTTAAAATAGAGTTCAACAGCCACGCCATGGGCCACACCCCTACCCTACCAACTTCACACCCTACTTCCGCATTAAATACAATTTGCCCCTTGAAATTCTATTTATTACAAAACGTCCCCAGTGCAATTTTAATTTTTAAGTAGTAATTATTTATAATCTTAAAACAAAACGAAAATTGATTAGCATCGTTTTATTTACTTATTTGTTTTCTTAATGACTTCTTTTTTATGAATGAATTCGATACATATGTTTTGTGGCAATAAGTTGAATCTCAGTACGATCTTCTGTGTTTTGTCCGAGAAGCAAAAAAAAATGGAAGAGACAGTCGAATCAGCAGCAAAGAAATGGCGACTTGATTGTAATAGTGTTTCCAGAAGAGGCAAATTTAATTTCTGTCTCTAGAATTTCCCAAAATTGGAATCAGTCCACACAAATTCGATTCTCCAACGAAGAAAAACACAGAATTAGAGGTTCCATTAATGGCGAATCAAGTTTGGCCTCAGGTAGAAGATGAAGAAGACGAAGAAAGTGCAGAAAAAAAAATCAACTTTTTTTAACCTATTTTAATAATAACAACAGTAATTGGAATTGAAATGGAATTGGAATTCATGATTGATCAACAGAATATATATACATATATATATATATATAATTGAAGGATTGTAGCCATGAATTTGTTGATTTGTTAGTGGAGAGTCCTTAATTTGCCGCCATGATTGGTGCTTGGAAAAGTTGGGGGAAAAGAGGAGGGTATATATATATATATTTAGTAATCAGAAATCCCTAACTTTTTGAAATTGGGAATTTATATCTCTCTCTCGAAGAAAACCCTAATTTCCATCAATGGTGGGGATTTCATCTGCGCCTTTGGCTCCACTCTCTTGGCATGATTAGATTCGTCTTTCCTGCTCCACTTCACGTCTTCTTTTCCTTTTCCTGCGAACCAACCATTAATTAATTTCAATTTTCATCCTGATTTCGATTAATTTCGTCTATCGGATTTTGAATTTCCTCGCCGATTTCGTTGTGGATCGAGGTTAGGTATGGGTAATTCCGGCAGCAGCGGCGTTCACGGCCGGCGGAGAGCGTCCGGCGGGCAGCGGGACGGGCAGGGACCGCCGGCGGAGGATCGGTATGTTTATGCGGCGGCGACGCCTTATCCTCCGCCGCCGCCGCCGCAGGGGAATCCGAACGCGCCGGCGGCGGCGTTTCATCAATACCCTAGCTACTACCCCCACCCGGGGACGATGCCGATGCCGATGCCTCTGCCGGCGCCGTACGACCACCGCCACGCGCCGCCGGGGGCTAATAACTGGATCGGCGGTCGGTACCCCTGCGGTCCCATGGCGCATCATCCTCCGGCGTATGTGGAGCATCAGAAGGCGGTCACTATTAAGAACGATGTTAATGTGAAGAAGGAGACTCTGAGAATCGAATCCGACGAGGAGAATCCGGGGAAATATCTCGTTGCTTTCACTTTCGACGCCATAGTCGCCGGAAGGTAGGGCTAATTATGCTTCTTCTGCAATTCAGTTTATTCCGCCATTGATGAACCTCTGAATTTTGCCTGCAACTAACTCTGTTCATAATTGTTGCTTCTGTTGTCGATCAAACTAGGGATTTGATTGCTGCATAGCTTGATAATTTTAGCTCTACAAATTGCGATCTAATTCAAATTCAGTTTCTAGATTATGCTTGGTAAAAGTTTGATCGATTCAAATAACAACAGCTCCAATGGAATACCTTGCAATTCATTTTTTATCCTCACTATAACTATGTTGATGAAGCTTATGATCACATATATAACATCTTCCTGAAACTCCATGGATAAGTAATCGAAACTTTGGTTAATGTCTGCATAGTTCTTGTTGAGATTCGAAGCTAACCTGATTGTCTTTCGATGATTTTAATCAAGAACAGAATGAGCTTCAACTTCTTGAAGTTCGTCGCCTTTAATTCACAGCTTGTTTGCAGTTCGATAGAAATTTTTTCTTACTATTATCTAAAGCTCAAGTTTGTAGATTATACACATTCCCTTGATCGTACAATTTGTTTGTTTGTAGTTTTATTTCGAAATATGGTTTCGATTCATAATTTACCTTCGAATTTTGCAGCATAACGATATTCTTCTTCGCGAAAGAGGGTGAGAATTGTTGCCTGACTCCGATCAAAGAGACCGCGCATCCTCCTATTACATTCAATTTCGAACAAGGTTTAGCACAGAAGTACAAACAGCCATCAGGAACTGGTATCGATCCTTCGATATTCGATGAGGAAGTACCGACGGGAGATGGCGAGAACGACATCTACCCGCTGGCAATAAAGGCAGAGGTTTCTTCAGACCAGACCGGAAATTCGGACAGCAGAGCGACAAACTCGCAGATAACTCACGCTGTGTTCGAGAAAAAGGATAGCGGCGAATACGTTGTAAGAGTGGTGAAACAGATCGTGTGGGTGCAAGGAAAGAGGTACGAGTTGCAAGAGATTTACGGGATTGGGAATTCAGTCGAGGATGACATCGACTCGAGCAACGATCCCGGGAAAGAATGCGTCATATGCCTGTCCGAGCCCCGCGACACGACAGTCCTCCCCTGTCGACATATGGTATCCTTCTTTAGGACAACGATACTATTAATTCGATCGAACATTAAGTTGTAATAACTTTTTTGTCGTCAACGCAGTGCATGTGCAGCGAGTGTGCGAAAGTCCTGAGGTTCCAGACGAACCGATGCCCGATTTGCAGACAGCCGGTGGAGAGACTTTTGGAGATCAAGGTCAGCAACACGTCCGAGGTTCCAAAACCCGATATGCAGACAACAACCGATCGGGACCAAGGTTAGACGCCATGATTTCGTCGTCGACGATTTGTGAAGCTATGAACTGAAGAACAAACACTGTATACTTCTGAATTCACAAATCCATTTGACATAAAAATCAAGCACAAAGGAGAAAACGAAGGTGTAATAATACAAGAATCTTACGATGTCTGGAAATGACTATTTTCATGACATTGCAGAAATGTTTCTGAGATTACAGAATTGTATTGTTATTATTATTATTATGGTATTGTAAGATTAAATATCAATGTTCTGTTCGCCTGTTAATAATGTTAAAAAGAACTTAAGATGAGCAAGAAATTTTCAGCTGTGCAAAAATGGCTGAGGATATATAAGTAGAAGCATACCTATGGCTTCTATTTCAAGCTTGTATTTTCCGGGTTTTTCGACCCGCCGCCAGAAGAATCGGGTCTCGACCATATTTTTATGTGGCCGTCCCGGGAAGCCGTAAGGACGGAATCCCGAACGAAAATCAGGCCAGAGAGAGGCTCGGTGTGGACACGGTGCACGACGAGCGGAGACAGCTTCGGGACGTCGCGGATGCTCGGAGCCGGCCGGAGGGTGCCGGCGGAAGCGAGGCCGTCCCAATGAGACGATCGACTTCCGGCACTGAAAGTTGGGGAACCGCCGGGAAGGCGACGAACGGGGACTATGAGTTCATCCATTTCGAAATCCCACAAAAGTAATTGCGCATCCTGCGTCGTCGCCGGAAAAAAGTCTAAAGATTGGTAATAAAACCGACATTACGCGGTGAAGACAGCTTTGCACGGGTACCTGGCCAACGGAGCCGAATCGATATACTATGTTTTCGCTGATGCTGTCTGAACTCGGGGCGACCCAATGCGAATCGAACGCAACTCTGCTAACCTGCCATCGTCAAGAAACATTTTTTTTTTTTTTTTTTATCGAAGAAAATGAAACCGTGAATCGAAGATGAATAAAATCTCACCCATGAGTTGTGCCCCTCGCCCCAAGCTACGATCTTTCGATCTTCCATACTCCAAACGTGCACGAGATCATCCTCACCTCCCGTCAATACGTATTTTCCATCATTGCTGTTGTATCATCACTAGGCACAAGTTATTCCAAATTCCCGAACTATTGAGCACATAATTTTACTACAAATCGAGGGATCGTAAATTTACCACACTTACTTACCTCCACGTACAACAAAGAAGAGCACCGTAATAACTTTTCCCGCCAAATATAAGCTCTTCGTTTTTATAATCAAAGACTCGCAAGTAACCTACATTTTATCACCAAAGAACGGTAGGTAATTTTAACGAGAGAAAATTGAAATATAGTAAAGGAAACTTATGGGAAATGACAATACCATCCCTTCCTACAGTTGCTACGTAAGCACCGTCAGATGAAAAAGCAACGCTGTTTATTGAGCCCTCGGATATATGCCATCTGGCGACGGGATTCTGCATAGGATCAATCATATATGATTTCAAAATAACAGAATAGAAATGGAAATCTTCGCTTACGTATTCCATAGGCAACCAATAGCCAACAAAATGCTCCTAAAATGGTTTGTAAGTCCAAGTGAAAACGAATGTCTAAAAAAAGTTATGATAGATTAGTTAGACTACAAGTGTTCATCGTTTAGAAACTTGGTCAAAAATATCGAAATGTTTTGTAATAGAAATTCCAGAGGACAAGTTGAAACTGTAGATTACTTGAAAGGTCTCTGTGGTTCATCTTTCCGTCCCCTGATCTAGGCTCTAATGTGTGTCCATCCAACCAAAAGGCATATACAAGCTTTCCGATTAATATTACTTAAAAAATATAGTATACACATTTTGACACAATATAATCAAGAATTCATAAAAAAATATATAATTTCTTATATCAACGATACGTTTTTCCATACCTATAAAAAATCACTTCTATCTAAAAACAATAAGCAAACACACTGATTACCTTATTTTTGTTTGAATATATCCCAAAATACCAATGAAATATACACAAACTCGAAAAAGTAAGACTAATCCGATGGTGATATTGAAATAAAAGGAACAGGCAATACCTTGTTGTTACGCGCATGCGATACAAAAAATTGAGTTTGATCCTTGATTGCTGGGAAAGCTGAATCACCTGAAATGTCTTTATTCTAGCAAACAAACAAACAAACAAAAGATTCTTTTTTCAATTTCAGAAATTTAAATTTTTTTTTCTTGTGAATGGCAAATTGGCAATGTAATCGTCAAAACTTGCCTTTTCATATAGATACAAATTTCCATCTGCATGTGCAGCCAAGAATGAGCCAACGCCATTGGGAATCCACGCAACAGAAGTACAACGGCTGCTAAGAAGAAACACGGGCATTGATAGAAGAAAACAATTGACATATGCGCATTATTACATATAAATTTTTAAGAATACTGATCTACCAGAAGATATAAGACGACTCAATGCTTTATGATGCCAAATCTCTTATATCAAGAGAGGTTGTACCATATAATAAAAAAATGACATTTATAAGTTATTAATACCTGAAACAAAAGCTTTTGGCAAACATGGAAATGAAAAATATACATAAAAAAGAATCAAGAGAAAAACCGACAAAATAGAATATTCACTTGCCTATTATTAACACAACCATCTTTATTATAATGTTGGGCGCCGACAAGCTTCTTCCCAACATCTTGAAATTGTTGCCTTAAAGAGACGGAATAAACTACAAAAAGACAAAAGCCGTATTTAATAAAAATCACTATATTGCAAGAACTAATCCAATTAAACTTTAAATGTAAAGGCCTACCATCTCCCGAGCTTAAGCCAATAAGCAAGTCATGTCCATCTTTCGCATCGGGATCATATGCGTGACAAATAGGATTCGAATTACTAAAATGTATAGACTTTATAGGATCCTATGTATCAAAAGAAATTTCTCGAAATCAATTCAATCGGAAAATGTAGAACAAACAATATAAAAACAGATAAGTTACAAAAAGTACCTTATCCTGAGAATTCAAGTCACTCAAAAAAATCGAATCATTAACATTGAAAACCAGATAAGTCCCCTTTCCATCGAAATTTGCATTCGAAATGGCGTTATTCGAACTCGAAGAAGCAGCCAATGATCCTATTCTTGTGCAACCTGTAGCCACCAATCTACTTCCACCATTGCCTCCTCCATGGCTAAGAGCTCGACTGCCATTCCCCCCTCCCCATAGCCTCGCAGCTGCAGATCGAACACCACTGCTCACTCCGGAACCTGACGACGATTGTGATGGTGCTTGCACAGGCTTATCCTTCAGATGAGCTAATGACACCTGATCAGAAAGTTCAATGAAAATCATCCTGAACCAAATAGGGCAAATTCAATTCTATGCCTTTTCTCTGTGTGCGTTAGAACAGTTTGGTAAATCTTCCTCATCAAATCGACGCATAATTGCATATCGACAACATACAACAGCCACAACTTTCAAATCCACAAACAGTAATCACAAAATACCTAAAAATTGAAAGCGGAAATTGCAGGAATAAGACAAATAAGGAGAAATTGAAGAACCTGCGTGACGGTTTTGCTCTGCGGCTGTTGAATTAGGGCGGAAGGATGAGTTTTCTCGCACTGAAGCTTGTACCTACCCTCCGGCGTCTTGAAATGCGTCTTCAACCCCGGCGGCGCGTTGCTCCCAGGCGCCGACGCGGAGGAGGCCAGATTATTACTCGCCGCACTGTTCATCACCTCTCCGCTCCAATTAATCTCGATTCCAACTTCTAACTGGTCAGTCAAATCAAAATCCTGGCATTCCAATTGAACACGTTGAAATTGCTCAATCTTCCGCTAATCAGCCGGATTATTCTCCTTTACCTTTATCTCCGGCGAATTCGATCACTCCCGGCGCTGAATTCAACTCACGATTGGAGAATTCGATCGACTTTGGACTCCAGTCGCGAGTTCATCGCCTGCTTTTTCTCGTTGCTATTGCGCTGCCTTTAGGATTTGGAAGTGAATGGGAAATCAATCCAACGGCTGGGAAGCGATGAAGAGGAGGCAGAGAATGCATCTACGCCGTCCAATGACGTGCGAAAGACAGCAGTTGCTTTTCTTGGCCGAGTCAGATCAGGAATTTTAATTTTAATTTGATTATTGTTTTAAAAGGCAATTTTTTATTTTATTTTAATACTATATAGTAGTATTTTATTCTTGCAGGCGGCATTAATTTGCTTGCGATGCTTTTGACATAAATTGCAATTAATTTTATTAGCAAACTCAAATTATTACGTGGTTGTTGACTTTGGTGGGATATTTATTTTATTAGAAAACAATTGTCTTTGGAATTGTTCTTTGGATTTTTTTTTATAACGTGGGAACACCACAGTCGCTATTCGAAAGTGTGCATCTAGTAAAAGGAAAATCATATTAATTTTATTTTTTTTGGATTATTTTTGTCTAAATACCAACTAACGTATTGCCCTATTCCTTATTTATTTATATTTTATTATAAAAATGAAATATTATGACTATTTGAGTTTTTTTATAGTTATCTGAACTACTCTTTCTCCCTTAACAATCTATTCAATTTTTTTTTTTATTTTGATTCATTTCATAACAAAGTATTTATTTTCTTTAGTAATTATATCATATATCTGACATTATAAATACCTTTTAATTTACAATATATTAGACAAATGTCATTTACCTTTATATTATACAATACTAATAAGGTTAATTTAGTCTTTTTATCTTTATTTCTATTTTTCTCCCAATATAATACTAATATTTTAAAACTTCGTATAAAAAATAAATTGATATATAGATATGAAACGGAAGAAGTGTAATATTTTAAAGAATGAAATTATTTGATAATATGTTTTATATGTAAAGATATAGAGCTTGTTTGTTTAATATTTTTTTACACAATTTTCAATATATATTTTATCTTCTTATCAAAATTAATATTTAATATAAAATATTATTTATATTATTGATAAGATTCTTTATAATTTACATAAAAATGAAAAATTTCAAATCCAAATACTAAACAAACAAAGCCATATTCTCGTCAAATTAGTAATGGTCTTTTTAAATATAATATTGAATTATTATTTTTATTCAAAACATTCAGAAATATAATTTACTTATATTATTCATTATTATTAAAAATACATAATATATATCGTTTTTATATGAATTAATTTTTTATGTGTGGTATAATAAATGATATTTAACATATAAAATATATAATTTTAAATTGAATATTTAACTTTTTGTAATGAGAATTTGAATTTTTTTTTTTAACTTTTGTAAAAAAAATAAAATTGTGTTGTTTATTACTTCATCGGACCAATTTTTATTATCTTAAAGTATATTTACACAGTTTTTTTAGATAATTATTTTTTTGTTATGAATTGACAAAATTTGCCTTATAGTAAGGTAAAGATAAAGAATGATAAATGAACTTATGATAAAAAAATAAAATTTTTGTTTAAAAAGAGAAATATGATAGTAGTTATTAGATGTCCTAAATAGAAAAACAAGACATTAGTTTGTAAACTGAATAATTATTAATTTTTAGAATCACAATTCAGAAATAGCGTTGAAGGAATAGAGTGTTATTATTATTCTTTTGTTTTTTTTTTTAAATAAAAAAGTTAAAATTGAAAAGTTTATTTCTTTTAATTATTATTATTATATTAAACATAATTTAGAATGCAAAAAATATAAATAAAAAATATTTTCAAAATATTATATACTATAATACTCTCTCCGACCTATGATAATTAAACCATTTAATTAGGGACACAATTTAAGATAATAATATTTAATTAGTTAATAAAAATAACTTATTGTATTATTTTATTATTTTTTTTTATGTAATTAGTAATATTGATAGTTAAAAAGTAAATTTAATATATATGATTAAAAAAACTAAAATATATATTTAAATATTTTAAAATTATGGAGCAATAAAAAAATATATGCAATATGAATATCATTTTGCAGAAAATAAATTTTTTTATAATACAAGTAAATATAAAAAATACTTGTATTTATTTATAATTAACATTAATTAATTTTATAAAAAGACTTAATTTTAAATATAAATAAAAATATTTATTTTTTAAAGAAATATATAAATAAAATTTTTTTGAATAAATTCTTCGTATTTATAATGTTCTATGTTGCATAATTAATTAAATTAATTTTTATATATTAAATAAAATGGTGTCAATCGTGTAGGACAAGAGAATATTTACCTTTTAAAGTCTCCAAATTATTATATCATTGATGTTAAAATAAACAATCCCTTCCCAAAAGAAAGACTTGTCGCAATGAGTGCACTTACTATCTTTCGGTGAAATAATATATTTTTATAAATATACTAAAAAAATATTCTCTATGCCTCACATATTATGTTCACGTTATCGTTTTTGTATGTTTCACATTTTATGTCACTTTCATTTTTTGAAAAATGATTACACACTTTAATCTCATCTTAAATTTTTTAATTTTTTTAATTTTAATTAAACTAATTAGTTATATTAATCTTAATTTATAATTATTTATATTATAAAATAATTATTTCTAATAATATATTCTTAATTATCTACTAATTACACCCATAGTAAAATACTGTGTCTACAGTGCACAGTGCAGCAGACAGAGAGTATAATATACATAAGTATTATATATATAATATTTTGTCTATTTGTTAAAAATTTAATAATTTAATATATAATATTAATTTTATATTATTGATATAATTATTCATAATTAACAAGAGACATATTTTTGGCAACACAGTTTCGCAGTGACAACAAAAGGGGTGTGTAACAATTTTTTTTTATGTAAGGTATAAAAAATTGGGTAAGTAATATAAAAAAAATGTGTATGTAATATATTAATTTTTTTAGAAAAATATGTTAGAAAAATTTTTTTGTTAAAAGAGCAAGCCAAATTTGTTTCAAATCATTTTTTCTTTTTAATGTCTCAAAATTATCATGCAATTTCTTTTTTAAATTAAAAAAAATATGATTGATAAATAGTGAAGTATTCAAAGTTTAATAATATGTATGTAAATAAAGTATACACATTTGTTATAAATCTTTCACTAGTTTATTCATCTACTTCAACTTGATCAATATTGAACTAGGTCTAGTAAATAATAAATTAAAATTTGTATGTGAACAACAACGAATGAAAATGATCTGACTTGAATGTACGAAATTTTTCGATTCTAATACTATGTTAGATGATATTGAATAACCGTCACACATAGCTTAACAAAATGTTGCAGTGAAAGACATAACTTATTTATTTATATTTTACGGACCAAAGTCAACCAATACATTATACTCCCTCCGTCCAGCTAGCTAGAAAGTATACATATTTCTATTTTGGGACGTCCAATTACAAAGTAAATATTTTATTAAATACTTTACTTTTTTTCACAAATACCCTTACTTTACATTACATCATTACTTTTACACCAAAAAACAAGGGCAAAAATGTCATTACACTACTTTTAACTACCCACTATAATTAAAATATTATTATTTTTTAAACACCGCGCCAAAAGTAATTGTATACTTTATGAGTGGACGGAGGGAGTATTAAATTCAAGCTTGAACACAAACCACTTCAAACTCATTAATTTTTTTTTTTTTTAGGTCTTGTCTAGCCTTTTTAGCAGGCTATTAGATTCGATCGAGGGTTCATCCAGAACGTACTCACAGAGACGGATCTAGAAAAAAAATTTAGTGGTGGCACAATAGATATATTAAAATAATAATATTAATATTAATAAAAATAAATTATTATTACTGATATAGAAAATAATATTATAATACTATTATATATAAAAAATATAAATTGATTATTTTCATTGAATTGAATTTTAATTATTTGGATACTTATGACAATTTAAATTTTAAATAATTCACTAAAATATTTTTGAATAACAATGACATTCAAATTTTAAGTGGGGACACTCAAACTTTTTATGGTGGCACAATTGTTTAATTATAAAAAATTTCTTTTGGTGTGATAAAATCACTGGTGGTACGTGCCACCATTACCTTCTACTTGAATCCGCCCCTGCGTACTCGTCGAATAGCAGTTGTGGATTTCCATGTTATTAAAAAAAATAGTCCCAATCAAGGCCTGTGAGAGATGGTGTGATGGTGGACTTGTGACTATGAGATTATGTATCTAAACCCTCAATGCTTTCAAATCTTGTCCGCTACACATGATTCGCCTAATGTAATTTGTTTTATCGAACTTATTTTATAGTGATAGATGTCAAATCTGGTCTATAACACATAATTTGACCAAGGATTTACCAGAGCAGGCGGTATGATTCAGATGTTGGGTTGAACTATATATTTTTGTGTAAAAGAAAAAAAAAAATTTTGTTAGACCCGAAAGACATTTTGGGTCTGTTTCTTTAATAAAATTTTTTCAAATTTTACTATTTAAAATATTTAACACTAAATTCAAATTATTTTTTTTCCAAACTCAACCGAAATGAAACACCTTTGTCATTTTCGTCTATTCATACATATATATATATTATAGCAAATTTGATTTTACAGTATATTACAAATAAACTTAAACTTTATTTATTTAGTAATATTACTATATCAAATTAAAGCACACGCATGAAAAAAATAATAATAAATTAGCATATAAATACTCACAAACTATCGTTAAAATATAATATTTTTAAAATTTATATTTAAAATTAAACCTATATATTTGAGTAAATCAAAAACTAAAGTAATATTCCATCTGTCCAAACTCAAATACCATTTTATTTTTTTTAGTAAATTAAAAAAATTAATAATATTTTATTAATTATTGAAAGTATATAAAATAATTTAGATATTAGTTTGCCTTTAAAAGTACAAATAAATATATATGTATATATAAGTGATAGGTATTTGATATTTAAATATAATTTTTTTAATTATAATTTAAAAAATACTACTTCTGTCCGGTTTTAAGGGTCCTATTTACTTTTTGCGTGTTAATATTTGAATATTAATTATTATATGAAAATATAGTATAAATTAAGGAAAAAGAACAAAAA